TTGTGGGGGCACCAAACACATTCTTGCCTTTCCACTTCAGCCGTGGTTTCCAGTGATCCCCTCCTGTCTTCACCACAGCTGCTGGGGTCTCACCTGGGCTGTTAGCATTACTTCCTTAGGGGTCTCCCAGTTTCACCCCCTTGCCACATGGGAAAGGAACTCACTGCTCTGCCTGGGAGTGGCTGGGAAAAGTAGGAGTTAGCCGAGGAGACAGGAGGAACAGAACGTGCCAGGACAGGGCAGAGTGTGAACACTGAAGTGTGAGAGAAGGGGGCCCGTGAAGGAAATAGCAGGTGGATTCATCTGCGTCCTTGGTTGCCTTTGGGCCACTGTGGGAGAAAGGTCTGCAGCCAGCTGGGCACCTTCTGCCACATGATGTGTCAGCTCAGGTGTTAGTGGATGGTAATGATTACGTTTGGTTCTCTGTTGAAAGATGCTGACAGATGAACCCCTGTGGTTTTGAGGGGAGCCTGCCCTCTAATCAAAAGGTAGGCCTGTGTTACCTGATGGGACCTGTTAAATTATTTCTACCCGTATTTGAAATGGCATGGTACACATGGTTTACTGTGTGAATTTCAGAAGAACCTTATTATAGAAACTTTTTTTTAAAATGATAAAATGCAGTGATTGAGGCACAAAATATGTGGCCCAGGGATTAGGAAATAGTATCAATGACTTTGGGAAGAGTCAGCCTGAATTGATAGTGTCAAGAGGAATGGTCTCTTTTTTTCGTTTAAGTCAGAGTTTCTTATTTTTGTGAGTGTAAGGAGAAACAGAAGCTTATTGGAGGCCCTTTTAAAATTGGCCTTAACACAGTTATATAAAAACAAGGCCAGGTTTGGGGAGTATGACCGAAAGAAACGTATGGAGTAGAACTGTTGTATCTGTGAGGATTGCTGATGAGTGAAGTCAAGTAAAAAAAAGAAAAGAGAAAAATTAAGAGCATCCAAGTTGAAAGACTGAAAATGGCAATTCAATGCCCTCTCAGAAAATGGGTCTTATATTGTGTTACTGGGGACAATGGAAATAGAAGCCAGAAGTCATAGTTTATTTTGAGATTACTGTAGAACACTTGTCCCCCTCAGATGGTTGGGTTACGCAGCACTGGGGACGCCCTGGAACTACAGTTGTGCTCTGCCCTCTCCCTCCACCCATCGTATACCCTTAGCCCTCAGGGAACGCAGTCCTTCCTGGCTGTTGCCATATATATATGTTCTTATTCCAATCTGATCCTCTCTCATCCCTAAAATAATCAGCATGAACAGAAGGAAGCAGATGGCACCGCCTTCTTTGGCATACTGGCAGATCTGGATCACTCACTCAGTATTTTTAGAATCAAGGGGATTGAAAATTATGTCCTGAGATGTTTTGGGGGAAGACTGACTACCTTCCTCGGGTGACAGGTGTTGAAATATTACCGTATTTAAGACCTGAATGCAATCCGTGTGTCAGGTCACAGAATAGACTGATTATCGTCAGGACCATCAAGTTGTCAGTTCTCTGTCGGGATTGTTGGTGGTTTGCCAGATAATAGAAAGTTAATCACAAGTCTGTTTTAAGGATGTGGCCACAGAGCGCATCAGGTTTCAACCAAAGATTGGAATCAGCAACAGCCAGCCAGTACCGGTCAAGTACGTGGGGATGGGAGATGTTGTATTATCCTCACGGTTTATTTTTAAATAGTGGCTGAGCTTTGATCTTGGCCACAGTGAATTTATAGTCTGGTGGGAAATATTATTTCAATAGAAGTTTGTGATTCTATCATGAAAGCCATGCAAATATTTATATTTGAACATCCATATTAATGAAATTCAGAGTTATGGTGAAGGGAATTAACTATTTGTGAATTTGAATTCTTCATTAAAAAAGACTTCCTAAAGAATTTAAAGAATGTTTACTATCTTAAAATTAATTCAGTTCAACATCTGAAGACCGACTGTGGACTTAGCGATGGGGTAGCTGTATTTAACACAAAGATCTCAAACTCAGAAAGATAATGTCTTGGTTAAAGACATTTATGAAATAAGTTAAATAAGTATTAAAATGTTTAACCGACTTAACTTTTTGTTGCTTTTTGGGGATAAAGAGTTGGAGGAAATATGCCTCACATTTAAATGAAACATGGCCGTGTCTGAACCTCCCATCTTTGAAGGCCCACGAGAAACGTAGGTAATGATGTCTGTGGTTGTCAGACTCCTGAATCTAGGGAAGTGGCTGGAGACAGTCTCTGGGAAAACTTTATTAATGCTAAAGAGAAGGCACTTTTTTAAAAAATCAAATCTCATTTTTCTTTTATATTCTTGATGTATTGCTAAGCAATCTGTCAAAGTTGATATCTTTTGAGAAACAGAAGAATTAAGGCTAGTTTTTCCTTGCACCCCCAAGTGCCCTTCCTGCACGCGTGAGCATGTGTGTTGCCCAGACTGCCAGCTGGGCAATCAGTGATGAATTTTACGTAGGGAAGGGACATGCCTTTTTTCATTGTATTCATAGCTGAGCAGTTAGAACCATGTGTCAGCTGATGGTTTCTACTTTTCATGCCAGTGTTTCATAAATCTCATGTACTAGTACAGTGTATTTCTAGATTACAGCATGCTTGCAGATCCATCTTGTTTCACTTGGTTGTCCCCATTCATATAGCTAACCGTGGGTAAGCTGGAGTTCGAACTGGGGAGTCTTTCCACTGTACTCTAGAACAAGTGACTGGATCTACGTAGATTCCTCCCTGGCTTCAGAGAAACCCCTGAGGGTGACTCAGCACAGTGTCTCTAGAGGCAAGCGTAGCCTTACTTCTCCTCCTCTGACAGTGAGACGAGGAACCTGCCTGTGCTGTCTGTCAGCCATTAGCCACACACGGCAACCTACGTTAACCCAGAGTTTCTCAGTGTCACATTTTGAGTTCCGTCGTCTTCATATGTATGACATTTTCATCATCACAGAGAGTCACTCTCAGTGATTAGTGCCACTTTGAGTTCAGCTATGAAGGCAACGAGGAAAAGATGAGTGTTGCGCTTCGTGTTGTGTGTACAGTTTAATCTTGTCTGACCGACTTGGGAAGAACACAGAGCAGTTCTGAGTGAATGAGATGAGTGTATTTAGAGGCGATGACCAGCTCCATGCCTTTTATAGCTGGGCTGGAGGAGTAGGTCATGTCATGAGACCTGGCAGCAGAAACTTGGCCACACGGGAGATTCCTGGAAGGAATTATTCTGTGGCCAGGGTTGTTGGGGACGCGTCCCAGCAGAGCCTCGGGCAGGAACTGGGTTACTCTGAGGGAACGAGGCGGCGGGGCGAGGCATTTGGACAGAGCGGGCCAGCGGTTCAGTTCCAGTGATCGCACCTCGTCTCGGTGGAACAAGGTATGCGAGAGCTGCCCTCAGAAGGAAGGTTTGGTGCCAAGTGATGGCTGAGAAGGCGCGTCTCTGGCTTCGGACCAGCGCCGGAGCTGCGGGCCAGAGTGTGCACGTCAGCCCTGACGGTTCCGAGCAGGTGGGGCAGGACGCGGAAGGGTGTGTGCCTGGTGCTGGCTCCTGCGGACTCTGACCGCACACTGAACGTCTGAGTGAGCCGGTGAAGAGCACGGAGGTTTGCTGCAGGTGTTGCCCACTAGAAAAGGAACCTGTGTTTGCCTGTATACTTGTGCTGCGGGCTGGCATAGTTAAAGATGCTTGACCTATTATAATAAAACTCCGTCTAGCTAGACTCCAGCTTTCTGATCTGAAAGTAGCTATACCAATTGGAAAGTAGCTTTCCGATCTGGAAGTTAAGTAAAGATGAGCTTTTCATACTGAGCAATGCTGAAGATTTGGCAGTAAGTGAATGCAGGGAACAGACTCCTTGAAGACCTGCTATGATTGGTCAGTTGGCCATGAGTGTGCTGCTTACTTGACAAAGCGCAGAAAGGCCTGGCCTCTTTACAAAACGACTCCACATTGTTTAATGTAAGTGTATCGTACTCTAACTGGCACTCAGAAAGTTAGCATCAACCCACCTGAGAATCACTCGCTCTGGAATGGCACAGGACTCTTGGTAGCCAGCGTTGTACTGTGTTGCTCTTGACACTGCGTCGGGCTCTTAAAGCTCCTCAAATGCTGGTCTGTTAGTAGAAAAAGAAGAGCCTTGTTTTTGGAGACTTTGCTTGGGTTGGAGGGTGGTATTAATTTGGGTCTGAGGCGGTTGAGGAGTCGGCAGGCCCACCCACCTCCCAGAAGTGGCCTGCCCACAAGTGTCTTGGCCCTCCAGGGTGGGACTGGGGAGTGAGGAAATGCCCCCATAAGCAAAAGGGGAAGAGATTCGTAAAAACGGTTTACTGCAGGATGGTGCCTACACATTTTAAGTGCAGCCTAAGCCGTCCCTTACACCATCAGTTTTGTTCCCCTGGGAATACTCTGCTTCCCTCCAGAGGCACAACAGCGAATTAAACCAGCTTTATTCACACCATTTTGTTTACATCACTGAGTTGAGGAGTTCTTCACGGTAACCTTATAAGCAAATGAGTTTAGATGTATACAAATTATTTCATCTCACCCCCTAGTAGTTTAAACAGGTGTGATAGGCAACATGTGTTATGCCGACAGTGAGTCAAGAAGAATAGCCTGTGGTTTGAATAAGCAGGGCTGATTTTTGTTTCTGTACCAGGAAAACACTTGAACACCAATTTTTCTAATTGGTCAGCTGAGCCTCACACTGACCTGAGATCGTGGTTTGAAGTAGATTATACTGAGTCTGTGGAGGTAGCCATCTCTATCACAAAGGAAAGTGTGTTTCACCCACCGTGGAAACACTGGGTGCTTGACTCCTCGCCACTCAGGGAAAGCAGACAGGTGGATCTCTGTGCAGAAGGACCTCTTAAAGCACACGGGGAGGATGGAGGACTGTGCTGCATTAGAGCCACTGAAAGGAACACGTTGGTTCTGGGTAGCTGTTCTGAACTGGTGGGGGAGGAAAAGCATTGTTTTCAAATAGCTAATGCAAGAAAACGGTTTCTCTTCTCTCCACAGACAGTCTGGTGTTCCAGGACTAGCCCTGGCTCTAGTGATGCAGATTACCTTTCTACTCCTGGAATCTCATCTGTGCCTCAGACTTTCTCCTCCCAGCTTGAGACTGCACATACACTAGGATGTGGGACGGCAGGAAGCAGAGCTAGTGGTCCCCGAGAGGCCCAGGTCTGGGTAGAACCAGGCCCAGGACGCTGCCTTTCCCCTGAGCTGGAGTTCAGCTGTGGGGGTTCGGCGCATGTGCTCTGCACCATCCTTCTATCTGTGCTTAAATGGCACAGCGTTTGGTCAGCGCCTCTGAAAAGGAAGGTGCGAGAAGCAAAGCCCATGGCCACCTACCCCTGCCAATTATGTGGCAAGATGTTCCTCACCCTGGAGAAGTTCACTATCCACAATTATTCTCACTCCAGGGAGCGACCTTACAAGTGCTTGCAGCCAGAATGTGGCAAAGCTTTCATTTCCAGATATAAATTAATGAGGTGAGAGGCTTTAGAAAGGTATGTAAAAACATATGCCTCTAAATGGCTTTGCTCGTCCTCAGACAAAACATTACAAGGAAAAGGGACACAGAATGGGGTGCATTTTAGCCTTTAAAGCTGTATCTCCAGTGGTGACTGTAGTTTTATGTGAGTTTTGCTGTGCTATATCTGTTCATTTCCTTCAACAGATATGTGCTCCTACAGTATGCCAGGTCTAAGAACAGAAAGAGGGAAAGGCCCGTGGCAGGGGAGATTGTCGTGCCGGCACAGACTCCTTGAAGTTAAAATTCAGTCTGAGTGCTTTGATGGAGCTGCGTAGGGGGAGAATGTAGTCCCCCTGCTTGGTGAGATCTGGGAAGGCTTCTCAGAAAGGTTTCCCAGGAAGGTAGAGTCTTAAGTTGTGGCATGAAGAATGACTAGGAAGTGGACAGCAAGGAGGTTTGGGAAAGTTCTAAGCCTTGGCCTTGAATGCACATGCAGAGAGGGTGCTGTTGGAGGAGGGGCAGGGTGAGGCTGCAATGTAGGAAAGAAGCAAGCAGCTCCCATCAAGCCCTCTCCGCTGTTGTAGAGGATTTGTTTTATTCTGGTGAGTTTAAGTAGTGAAGAGCATGATTTGATTAGGATGTTAGAATGATGGCTGTGGTGGTCATTTGGGAAGCAGAGAAGAGGCAAGTAGGCCGATTGGAAATCTGTCGTCACAGTCCTGGTATGAAATATATGGAGAGATTGTCCAGGTCCTGACAGTGAGGATGGACAGGAGGGAACACCTCCAAGTGTAAAGCTTTGGAGCGGTATCTCAACTTGGGTCTAAGAGCCACCGCTCAAGTGGAAATCTGGGGGTACACAGATGCTGACTATGCACACTTAGGTTTTCAAAGGCATCCATGCTACAGCAAAGGATAAAAACTTCTGTTTTAGCAACTGTTTTTCAAAACAATATAGTATGTTTAAGTCTAAATCATTTCTTGGGTGCCATTAGGGACTTCCATAGGGGAAGTGGATTTGTGAGATGTAACTTCTGCCTCCAAAGGACTCCTGTATGGTAGAAGAGACAGAATATACACAAGATTGGTTCAAGTTGCCCAGTATCCAATTAACAGTGGATACTGTGCGTGTGCTTTATACGTTGTCTCCTCAGAACGACACACGCAGGCCTCCCACAGGTGTGCACTTTTGACACCTGGGTAAGAGACTTGTATCATTTGTCTTTAATCTTCACAAGGTGAACTTTAAAGCTTTAACTTTCAAATTATGTTTCAGTACATAGGTGATTGGCACAATTCAGCGAGAAGATTGGCATCTGAGTGATATGAACACGGGCCACCTTGTTATTAAATGTTGGATTGCATTTGGAGCGAGGCACTCGGAACAGTTAAAAAAGATATAAATTATATTCCTGGACCTTAAGAATACTGCTGTTACAAGTAATGTACTATAATAAGCTGATTTTCAAAGTGAGATTATAAATGCACGGGTTTTTAAAAATTCAAATGTGTTGTCTACATGGGCCACTCTAGTTGCCATACATGTAAGTATTGAGTGCCTACTGTGTGCACCGATTTTGTCGCAAAGGCTTCCTCTTTTGCAACGGGCTTCTCCTGTAACACAGCAGTGACCCTCCCTCGATCACAGACAGTAGTGCTTGCTCGGTTAGGCCATGGCAAGGGTATTGTAACTGTGGGTAAAGACCAGAAAGCGGAGAGGAGAGGAACGTTTGGAAAAGACAGTGGAGCTAACAGAGGATCGGAATGACAGGAGTTAGGTGGCATTGCTGTGGTGAACCGCACTGAAGATGTCTTAAGCAATGTTTAGGAGGTGGTCGTTCTGAACGAGGGAAACAACTTGTTCGGTTAAGAGTGTGGAGTGAGGTAAAAAAAGGGAAGCAGTGTCCTTTGTGCAAGAACCGCCTGACCTGCCACAGCCACCCCCACGTCTTGCCTCTCCGGCCTGACGCAGTGATCGAAGACGGGGCTGGGAAAGTGGTGAGGTGGCAGGATGCTGTCGGGTTTGCTTTCTCTCTTCTTTTAGGGCAGCATTCCATCCCATTTCCCTCGGTTGCAACATACACTCCATTTTATAAGCAGAGGTTGAGGGAGAAAATAACTGACTTGCTTAACTAGAGAAGAGAACACGCGTCCCCATCTGCCAGTTAGATGGAGACGGCGAAGACCAGAGATTGGGCGGATGGAAGCCCCTGGTTAGAATCCCCGGTTCCAAATCCAGTGCGATTCTAATTTGGAAGAAGTCTGAGATTGTGGGCGTGGTCCAGGCAACACCCCCAATGGTGGTATTTGATTCCGACTACAGAGCAGACACAGTTTGGTTCCATGCGCTGGGAGGTGAGAGGAGAGCTGAAGGACGGAAACAAGTTGTTGAAGTAGCTTTGGGTCTGAGATGATTATGTCCTAGGTTGGGACTGTCGCATGTGTAAGGAAGGGATGAATTGAAAGGGGATGACAGGATGCCAGGCAGAGAAAAAGCCAAAAAAAAAAAAATTCAGAGGATGGGAGCTGGCGACTGTGAAAAGTGGTATCACTGCTCAGGGCTAGTCTAGTCATCGTTCCTTTCTCATAGGTGGTGCAGCCCTAGGCAGGAACGGCCGGAGTTACTGGGGCACTGATCTGCCCCTGGGTGGTAAAGGAACTCTAATCAGACAAAAAGTCCTCTACAAAGGAAAAAGCTTCGAGAGGCAAGAATAGAAGACCCAGTTAGAGCTTCAGGGTCCTAGTCCCTAGTATTGGACCAAATAGAAAGTGGTTGAAATGCCAAGTTTGTAAACTGGTCCCCTGTCACCTGTTCTGACAATTCCTGTATCTACGGATACATTAAATAAGAACTCGGTTATTTGTTAAGAAGTAAGAGACTCGACCCTTCCACAACTGCAAGCATGTTTGAGTACCCCTGGGATTAATAGACAACAGCATCACTGCAGTCTCCAGCACCTCTCGCACTGACTCCTGTTCCTGAGCATTGTTTACGCCTGTCTTTCTCATCTGCATCCCTTTGCTGGCTGAGCTCTGGTGTCCTGGAGGGAAGGGGGAACTTACTTTTCTGTCCATCCCCTGCACAGAGCAGGCTACTGTTTTTTAAGGGAGAAAGGAAGAAGATACGAGGTTTTTGCTCTTTTATATTCAGGAAAATGACAATTAGACCCAGATTAGCTTTTTCAAACTGGCTTCCAGTCTTCTTCCTTGTAGGGACCACCACTGTTTTCTAAACAGCTGTGGTTGTAGGCCCCTTACTAATTGTACATCTAGAAAAGGATCACAAATAGACAGTATAGGGTAGAAGTTTGGGTACACTTGTGGCTTAAGCATACTGTATTTTAAAGAAAGTATCTTTTTGCATAGAAAAAGTTGTTAGAGATTCTTTTGTACAAAGTCAGTAAGTTCAATTACCTTGAAATTGTCAGTAGGACAAGCTTTAACTCCTAAAGATAAAACACCTAAAAGAGTTAACTGTCAAAAGGGACATGAAGCAACCTATGCTGTATTTGCAAGCCACAAGTTGTTTAAGGGTGCTGTTATGTAAGAAATACTAACATACAGGACTTGATGTTTTATATGACACAGTTACTAAAATGGCCCTTTTTTAAAGTTGTAAAAACAAACTCAGGATTCCTTTGTATCATGGAGTTTTTAAAAACCAAGAGTTCAGATTTTAGGAATTCCGTGGAACTATGATAGAAATGGAATTGTGCTGGTTCTCCATGACTAATTTGTGCTTTACACATACAACTATAAAATAGCTATTTTGAAATTCCAGATTGACTAGCATGACTACGGCTTGTCCCTAAAGCTCAGTTAAAGAAACACATAACTTCTGCTAGCAGCAGGAGCATGGACCTAGAAAAAGTCCTTTTGAATTCTGCCAATGAAATTACCAGGGACCTTCAGGAAGTGGGCTGAAGGGCCCTACCAGGGATTTGGAGGAAATGGAGATCAGGGCTGCCGGCTCCTGGGGGGATAGCTGATAGGAAGGTATAAATGGAGGAAGCCAAGAGGTAAGTGCGAGGATCTCATGGGAGGCACAGGTTCCGAGTACAGGGGGTATGGTTAGCATTTGGGGGTCCAAGTAGACGCTGTCTCTGAGGCTAAGGGTGACTTCTTATTGTTTTGCCTATGGCCTGAACTTTTTGTCTCAGCCGATAAAAACCAAGCAGGAATTGTATTAGAAACAATGACCTCGAACTGGAGGGTAATGGGGTACCATATGCAAGGCAGATTGAGTCACTTTTAGAAATTCAGGAATTTTCAGAGTACACCCATTGAACCCCTTCCTGAAAAATTTTTATGGTCACATCTTTGTAAATACTTGCATACCATTAGCCATCTCTTTGTGCACATTAGGAAAATCTGTACTCCAACTATATTCCTCACAGGTGTGAAAAGTGAATTATGTTTTTAGTAGCACCTGTTTAGTTTTTTTTACCATGAAGTTTTATGTAAATATAGAATCTGGAAAATATAGAAAAGTGTATTAAAACTGAAGATGATTTCTTACACCACAACCTAGAGAAAACTATTCCATCTTACTATTGTTTCTCTACCTTTCATGGGCTCTTAAAAAAGTGAGTCAGTTGTGAAATTTTCCCTTCTGCTCCTAGACACATGGCTACCCATTCGCCCCAGAAGTCTCACCAGTGTGCTCACTGTGAGAAGACATTCAACCGGAAAGACCACCTGAAGAACCACCTCCAAACCCACGACCCTAACAAAATGGCCTTTGGGTGTGAGGAGTGTGGGAAGAAGTACCACACCATGCTGGGCTACAAGAGGCACCTGGCCCTGCACGCGGCCAGCAGTGGCGACCTCACCTGCGGGGTCTGTGCCTTGGAGCTGGGGAGCACAGAGGTGCTGCTGGATCACCTCAAAGCCCACGCCGAAGAGAAGCCCGCGACTGGAACCAAGGAAAAGAAGCACCAGTGCGACCACTGTGAGAGATGCTTCTACACCCGGAAAGATGTACGGCGCCACCTGGTGGTCCACACAGGCTGCAAGGACTTCCTGTGCCAGTTTTGTGCCCAGAGATTTGGGCGCAAAGACCACCTCACACGCCATACCAAGAAGACACACTCACAGGAGCTGATGAAAGAGAGTCTGCAGTCTGCAGACTTTCTGAACACCTTTCACTCCATCTCTCCCCAGTTTCAACTGAAGGCTGCCCCACTGTCTCCTTACCCGATAGGAGCTCCTACACAGAATGGGCTTGCCGGCGGCTTGCCCCCTGAGATGCATGGCCATGCGCACAGCCCCCCAGAGCAGGCCTGCCCTCCTATGCAGCCTCTGCCAGAGGGCCTTGTTCCCCTGCACCCCATAGCACCTCCCAGCTCTCCCCCTGCACCCCTCCAGAATCACAAGTACACAGGTTCTACCTCATACTCCCCACTTGCAAACCTGTCCCTCAAAGCAGATACTAAAGGATTTTGCAATATTAATTTGCTTGAGGACTTGCCTCTGCAAGAGCCTCAGTCTCCTCACAAGCTCAACCCAGGTTTCGATCTGGCTAAGGGCAGTGCTGGTAAAGTGAACCTGCCCAAGGAGCTGCCTGCAGAAGCCGTGAACCTAGCAATACCTGCCTCCCTGGACATTTCCCCCCTTTTGGGCTTCTGGCAGCTGCCCCCCCCTGCTACCCAAAATGCCTTTGGGAACGGCCCCCTCGCCCTGGGGCCTGGGGATGCTCTGCCCCACAGGCTAGGCTGTCTGGGGCAGCAGCAGCAAGACCCCTCCCTTGCCATGAGCACTATGAGCCTGGGCCAGCTCCCCCTGCCACCCATTCCCCATGTTTTCCCAGCAGGCACCAGCTCTGCCATCCTGCCTCATTTCCATCATGCATTCAGATAAATGATTTTTAAAGCACACTTTTCTCATTCTGGAAGATGGTTTAAGCAGCATTGTAAACGTCAGTTATACTACAAGGGAATATTTGGAAAGCAGGACTGGGAGTATGGCTTATTTAGTAATGACTAGCTTGAGATAAAGTTCTCGAACTGCATGTATCGTGCCAATCTGTCCTGAGTGTTCATGCTTTGTACCAAATGTAGTAAGCAAGTATTCTATAATGGAACTGCAACTATTGTCTTAGCCGATGTTTGAACGAGGGCTGTTGTCCCTAAGTGTCTGTCAAACCACATTCAGTCGGAAGCCATGATCATCACAATGTCGACTGAGTAACTCTGTGGCTCTGCCTAGTAAGGGGACTCTGGGAAGGTTTGGATTTCTCCAAAACGGGAGCATTTGCTGAATACAAAAATAACCTTTATATTGCTTATTGTAACTAGGCTGTGTATTTCTTTTCAGGGATTTTTCTACCTTCAGGGTTGGATGTAGTTTAGTTACTATTGCCATAGCCAACCTGTAGTTTTATGGAAACAGTTTCTTGTGGAATAATAGATGTCTTCATTTTAAACAAGCATTTTAAACAAGCATTTTAAACAAGCATTTTAAATGTAGTTTGAATATTTTCCACAAGACGCTACAATATGAGTTATCACTTCATTTATCTTAAAGACTAAACTGGTTGTGTCAGTTACATCTGATGGAAAAAATCACTGTGTAACCAGGCTCAGTGGTAAAATAACCCACGCGTCAGTCAAAAAAGCATTTTGCTGACTTTAATATTGATTATATTTTTAACCGGAAGTTAAGAAATATTACTGGAATTTAAATATATATATATATTAAACAAGAATTTTCTTTGCTCTGGCTTAAAATACTACTCTGCTTAAGTATATTTTTAATCATCAGTAAATAAATGCATTTTAAAATTTATCATTTAAGTCAATATTAGTTTTATTCAAAAATAATAGCATTTTGCAATGTTAATCTCTCTCTTGAACTTTGTATCTAATGAGTTTTAAAAATATAAAACCTAACCTTCTTGTTAAGGCTTCTTTGTCTTTTGTGTTTAGAGGCTTTCTATATGAAAATGTATCGTACATATAATAAACTCTGCAAATCCTGACTGTGGCTTGTTTAGTTTGTCATACAGCTCCACCGCCGAACCACCCAAACCGGGACACTCGCTGGCTCCCTCATGCCCCCTCCTGGCCATTACTTCCCCCACAGCAACTACTCGTCCAATCTCTACCCAGCATCTACTAGAGACAAACTTTTTTTCAGTAACGTTATGACTTAAGGTAGAAGCTTATGTGCTTCTGTTAAATTCACAGCACCAAGAGCTTATTTCTTAACATTACTGTATAAAATTCTGAGTCTTTCTAGATTATGAATTCATTTGTGATGTCTAGGGCAAAATACTAGCTACCGAGGTTTAGTCTGCCCTGGCCCAGTTTACAGTGGTGTTCACCATTCGTGTCTAGCATGAATTAGAAATTAACTGCTCCCTCCTGGGGTGTCTTCACAAAGTGTCCCCCATCCACTCCCCAATCTCTGGAACCTGTCTATTTTTGCTGTTTTACTTCTAAATAGGGTGGGGGTGGGTAGAGAAAAGGAAGCCTTGAGTTCATTTGCCCAAATGTGAGAAACCTTGGTTCACAGCCCTTACCAGCGGTGCCGATTACAGGAAAAGGCGACCTGGCGTGGGGCTGGCGCTGTGCAGCCAACTCGGAGGTTCTTAAACTACAGTGTAACCTGGAGGGAGGCAATAAGACAAAGGGACATGGGTTACCCCATCAGAATGACTCCACCGTTCTGGGATGTCCAAGTCGACACCCTTCACCCCTTACCTCCGAGAGGGAAGACAGCCTCCCACAGCGACGGGAGAAGAAGTGACTTACCTCGGCTAAATCCTCCCAAGGCCCTTCTGTAGAGGCTTCCCCAAATACTTTCCCATGGCCTCGTAGTCTTCAGTCAGTTCCAGGACTTACACCTGACTTTCCTCAGCACAAAACGAAGTATTTGATCCCCAAATACAGATCTGAAGGGTTGCAGGTGTTGTGCTTGCCCAGCACTACAAGCGGGAGTAGTTCGGGTTCTACTTAAATTTAGGCAGGAAAAGTGGCTTTTAATTCCTAATTGAAATTCCCCGTGTTTAAGAGAAATAAAATTAGTAGCCCCAGCTGGGCGGCTCAGTTGGGTGGAACATCATCTCGTACACCAAGAGGTTGCAGGTTGGATCCCAGTCATGGCAACTATGGGAGACCACGGATCAATTTCTCTTTCCCCTCCCCGACTCCTCCTACATCAGTGGACATTTCCTTGGGCGAGAATTAAAATCAATTACAAATCAAAAAATTAAAATTACTGGATTAGAAAGCATGAGTTTAGTCTAAACGACTCTACAAAAAGAGTTTATTAGCCCTTTAAGGTAACAACAAACAAATAGTTGAGCTACGGCCTACCCACAGAGCTCTATAAACCAATGAGAAGACGGAGACTTGTCCCCTGGTTTGGCCGAGATAAATGGCTTCAGGCCTTGTAGAGCATCTTTCCCTCCCGGTGGGGAGATCGTTGTCCCAGGTTCCCTCCATTGCAGTGTTGCCCTGCAGTGTGCACTTGTGTGTGTGAGACAATTCTACATGGTATGTAGACGGGCACTTAAAATACGAGTTGTTACTAATCACAGTTTAATGCTTGTTAGAAGCAAATAGCAAAGCTGGGTCAAAGAAGACCTTCCTAGTCAGTAAATAATGCTAGCACTCCAAAAACTTTCACTAAAAATTTCCTACTATCAAAGCAACATCCTTTGAAAAGCCCATTAAATGTCCAGCTTAAAAAATGCTTCAAGCGAATCTTTAAATCAAGCACTGTACAGGGTAATGTGGTGTTTAATGAGTTTGTTTTGACTATTTTGAAGGGAGCAAATAAGAAAATTTGAAAAGCTACAGTTTTGTACTTCTTCTACACGATGTTTTGAGAGGAATCATAGGTATTGAAACAGACATGCAGGGCGCCTTCCTTTGGTGGCATTTCTGGGCACTGCTATACAGGCGAGTTTTAGGAAGCCGTTCTGAAAGCAAAAAGAGAAGATACATACTAGAACTCCATTGTCTCCACACTGAGAATGCCAGACAATATAAGCTTCCTTACATTTTTAAGGGTTTTTAACAAATGATTCACAATACGAAAAAGGTCTTCCGACTTCAATCCTATTCCGGGTCTATCTCAGGAACTGTCTTTGGCGGGCAACATGTTTGGAAAAACATGGGACCAGGCCGTGGCCTTGCAGGTCAAAATGAAGAACTATTCCTTTTCCCTGTTAGGTTAAGCATCAGACCGAATATCATTTTCGAACTATAGGTCTAACAAAAGAGTAAGTTTCAGGAGCATGCACTTTATCAACCTAACTCAGGGCTTGCCCATATTTCTCTTTGTGTTGCCTGCCACGGAGTCATTCCCTTAAAGGCTCATTAACTGTATCTTGCAGATTAGATGATCAGGGACACCTGGATTAGAGTTTAAATCTTTTTTTCTTACCTGGCCCCTAGGAGTTAATCTTTTTTAGAAGATTTAGTAAATCCTTGTTTGAGTTTTGCTCCAGAAGCAGGGTCCACTGCTAATCCTTTACAGACATAAACAGATTTGTTATTATGTAAAAGCAAACATTAGCAAGAAAGAAAAAAAAAAAAAAGGAAGGATTGTGAAATGCTCACATTGGATCAATGTCTCTGCTCCATTTTGTTTTGTTCTGTAGCTATAGACAAATACTCAGTTTCTATCCTGGGCCAAATAATAAAGAAAGCCAGGGACTGTCTCAGGATTCTCTCTCCCAGCCCCTAGGCCTTCACTTAGCACCAGATGCCTCCCCACACACACCCTCACCACAAGTTGTGACACAGCAATGGACTCGCTTCACTAACAGGGTTCTTTTCCCTGGTGTCCAGAAGCTCTCTTAGGTATGGAGAGGCCAGAGTTTATGGATACAGGCACACCACAGTCTGTTTTAGACCACATGGTATGGGACGGGATTCTGAGAGAAATCATTTTTTTATAAGGAATAAGCCCCCTCTGTCCTAGAAGCCTCCTGTGTGTGTGTGTTTTTTTTTTTTTATGAAGAGGGAGTAACCAAATAACCCAAGGAAACTGGGGATCAAAGTATCACAGGACATAGGAATAGAAAGAGCTTTAGTGTTCCTTTTATCCAAAGATCTACAAGTTTTATTTCTTTCGAAGTATCAGCAACTGGCCCCCAGATACTCATTACATTGGCTAAACAGGGAAGCCGGGTAAGGTGGGGACGCTGGTGCAGAGAAGCACTCAACACGCCCCCCTGGCTTCTGATGCTGAGCCCACCCAACAAAGTTATAAATGCAACTCACTAAGTACATGAAGCAGCCGAGCTGAGATCCCAACGTTTTCCTACTGATCTTAGTCTCTCCACGTCAAGGAGGTGGAGAAGCTGATGCTCAGAGGCACCTTCCCAGCAAATCAATCACTCTTATGTCAAAACCCTTGAGAAAACAGCCACCAGCAGGGATTTGCTGACGAGGCTAGAAACTCACTTCCAATCTGAACTATAGATCTCCTTACTATCTGCATTTTTGACCCAGTTTTTCCCAAGCAGACAAAGATTGGGTTGGCTCTACCATTTCCCATTCAATTACTTGTGCAGGTTGCTTTACCTGTCTGTGCTTCTCTCATTTATCAACTACGTTTATGAATAGTCATTTACTCCCTTGTGAGGATTAAATGAGGAATAATGTGTGAAGTGCTTAGAAGAGTGTACAATTAAGTATGGACTATTGTCTATGAAGAAGGGAGTTATTTTGTATAGCAAAAAAGTAGGCACAATTTGCCCTGGCTGGTGTGGCTCAGTGGATTGAGTGCCGGCCTGAGAAACAAAGGGTTGCAGGTTCAATTCCCAGTCAGGGCATATTCCTGGGTTGTAGGCCAGGTCCCCAGTGGGGGACCCGTGAGAGGCAACCACACATTGATGTTTCTCTCACTCTTTTTCTCCCTCCCTTCCCCTCTCTCTTTAAAAATAAATAAATAAAATCTATTCTTTAAAAAAGTAGACACGATCTACCTGTTCCACATCAGGAAAACAGCTAAATAAATTATATATATTCTTGTCATATAAAACTATGTTTTTAAGGAAACCCTTTGCCATAGGGAAATGTTTGAGATTTGTTAGTAAAAAAAGATCAGGATATATACATGGACTATGATCCTAACTTTGATTTAAAAAAAAACAAAACAGCCCTGGCTGGTATGGCTCAATGGATTGAGCACGGGATTGTGAAGCAAAGGGTCATCAGTTTGATTCCCAGTGAGGGTACATGCCTGGGTTGTGGGCCAGGTCCCCATTTGGGGGTGCACTAGAGGCAACCACACATTGATGTTTCTCTCCCTCTCTTTCTCTCTCTCTTCCCCACTCTCCAAAAATAAATAAATAAATACAATCCTTAAAAAAAAACAGGAAAAAGGAGGATTATAAATAGATAAAATATTGAAAAAATAGCAGTGTTAACAGTGGTCATGTCCAGGTGTGGAATTATGATTTTTTTCTTTATACTTTTCCCCATTTTCTCATATTTTTTACAGTAACCCTTACTATCTGACGTGATAATTTTTGAAAAGCTCTTTCTCAATACAAATTCTCTCAGGCTAATATAAAGTGGCCAGAAACGCCAAGTGCCCAGGTCATCACCACAGCCTAATGTGCATGGAGTCAGCCTTCACGACACAGACCCCTCTGCGCTGGGGGCCAGCCTCCCACCTAATTTTGACTTCTATTCACGCCCCACCTCTTCTCTATGCTTTGGCCAAATGAGCCATTTGTTTCTACGGCTTGTCCTCTGCATTCTCATTCCCAGATCTTTGTTCATTCTTTTTGCAACTTTTCTCCACTGGTCAAAACGGAGGTCATCCCAAAGCTCATCGTAAATGCCTCCACTTCCCTGGAGCTTCCTCTCTTAGAGTGTCACCTCCTCCGTACAGCCTCCTGGGCAAAGTTATCTCTTCCTTGTGTTCCCTCAGGACCTTTACATCCCACAGCTGAATATTAGTTTACATCCCACTGTTAAATATTGACTGCTAGCCCCCTAGACTTTTAAGAATCCACAAACATAAGAAACAACCGTGCACAATAATTATGTGTTGAATGAATCTTCTTAAACATCCATGGCAGCTGTGTACCAAGTTCATGTAACATCACATGCTCTCTTGTATCAGATTCTCCTGCACACACATTTTTTTTTTTCTTATAAGACTCTGGGATGGATAAGGAGTGTGACTTACACACAAGTGTCTGTCCTGACCGTGAATTTAGAACAAAATGTTGTAAACGGGAGATGCTAAATGCATATTTTACTTGAGAAAGTTGAAGAATGAAAGCCAGAGTTGTAGGGGGTTCACTACCAGCTAGAGGAAAAGACAATAATAGGATTTGTGGGGAAGGCAAGTGACACCAAGTGGCCTAAACCACTGATTATCAATCTAGATGTAGGCTCAACCACAATTTTCAAGAGACCATCACATTACAAACAGATTAATACTGACCAAAATAAACAGTGGAGAGCAGATTCGAATCTGATTCACACACCGGCCTGTTTACATGAGCGAAAAGCATTCAGTGCTCAAACATTTTCTAGAATCCATCTCCCCACTCCTGAATACACTCTGCTTCCTTCCCAGAATGGGTCTGGATGACATGCGACTAGTTTAAAGGCACACTAATTGCAGTTATTTTTGTTTTAAATTAAGCAGGTAAGGCCACAGGAAAGAATAAGAAATTAAACTGGAAATGCAACTTAGGTCCACCTGTCTCCTGCACAGGTGGGACCATCAACCATCATTGTAAACTGTTCGAACCATTGCCAGCCACTCGAGCCCAAACAATGCGCCCACAATCTCTGGTCAGCCCACCCACGCCGATGAAGTCGCCCTAGTCCAACCATTCTCATGCGTGTTCCTCAGGTTCTTTTGTCAGGAAAAATTGTCAAAATCTTGGGGAAAATGCATCTTAAATTGCTGCAATAGATAAATATAATAAATCCAAATGCTCTCTCTTAAAGCTAATTAACATAACAATTCTATGCATAGGCCGATAACTGAAATGAGAAATTATAGAATCAAGATATGTGCTTTTTCCCATATGTTTCATTCGGAAAGCATTTACCGAGCACCACACATGTTCCATGGATAATTCTAACAGGTAGGGATGTAATAGTACAATAAAAAATAGATCCACACCTTCTTAAAACTAACATTCCTCTTTTTGTGGGGGGACAAATACATATACATTGAATATTAGATGATGATAAATGCTATTTTTAACAGAGGGAATTATGGAGGGATTGATTAATTTTAAACACAGAGGTGGAGGCCTCGCTCTGCCGATGACACTCAGCAGAGAACTGGAGGGAGGGGGTGAGCAGTGCAGATCCGTGGGGACGTGGTGCGGCCCTCAGCAGGGAGCAGCGCAGGCACAGGTCCTGGACTAGGGTGGGCAGGCTGGTGCTTCTTGCGGAACAGCACAGGAGCCGCAGGCGCAGGTGCGGTCAGGTGGTGGTGCAGAACCCAGTGTGTGCCACGGTGAAAGCTCTGCCTTTCACTTGGCAACATGACGGTGGTTCTAAGCCACCATTACCTAGTCAAAAGTGGGTATAGTGCTGTTTTGCCTAGATCTACTGGCCTACGAATCTATTTTCTAATGTATCCAAATGGTGTCTTAATAACGCTCTGCTTAATGTTCTGAGACACCGGACATCTGAGTCTTCACTTGGGCCTTGTTGCTGATTTTAAAAAATGACTTAGTTCAGGGAAGGAAACTCTTTTCTTATTTTCAACACTACACCTGGCACACATCCTTTCCAATCTCAGTCGCTTTCCAAGTTTACTGGACTGGGGAACGAAGGTCCCAGGCTCTGTTGCTGTACTTGGACTTGACTTTGCACATTGTCAGAGTTCTCTAATCCTGATGAATTAAGAAATATTCCCTCTTGGCAAATAAGTTTTGACCTCAAACCCAAAGGAGTGCTTTTTACTGGAAAGGAAGCATTATAACATATTCTTTGGAAAAAAAATAAGAAAAGCAATCATAATATAAAGAAACTATCTTTTCTGAAGGACATTAATCATACTTTTTTAATAAAAGCTTGTTAGTGAAGTTTTACCAAACAAGTATATATATAAAATTTGAAGTGTGTGTGAAAACTAAACTCTACCTCGTCATTAAGTTTTCACAGATCAGGAAAAATCTAATGACTTGGTTTTACTGGGCTATGGGGAAATTTTAAAATATTAATTCAATTTTTAGCCCATGATAAGCAACTCATGAGGAATTTAAAGACTAATAATAAACTTCCCTGTGCTGTTTGTGAATCACGGGACTGGCAGTTCTTACTCTGGTACTGATAATCCTTCCAAACAAGGCCCGTGATCAGAGGTGCCGTATGGTCACGCATCCCTCCGGGCTGCCTTCGTGGTACATGCCGGCCATAAGGAAGAATGGCACATTTGCTGATGTGGCTCAAAGAATAGGGGAGCACAGCAGGGATTTAATCCAGCTCTGCTGTTTACCACCATGTGCTTGGAACCAACAACCACTCCTCTGAGCCTCAGTTTCCCTTTCTGCAGATGAAAACATTTGGAGGACGACTGTGAGGACTACGGGAGTGGGCCGGCGCATAGCTGAGCACCATAATGGCGATTATGTCTTTCTGTTACTTTGAAGAAATTATTGAGTTCCAGAAAAGAAAATCTTCCCTTTTTCTTCTTTTTCTGGCTTTACTGAAATGTAATTGGATATGACATTGTATGAATTTAAGATGTACAGTGTGACGATTTGCTACATGAATATACTGTGAAATGAACAATGAACTTAGTTAACAATGAACTTAGTTAACACCCATCAGCTCACACAGGTAACTTTTGTGCCTGTGGTTGTGAGAACATGTAAGATTTGCTATCTTAGGAACTTCCCTTTAAAAAAAAAGATTTTATTTGTTTTATTTTTGGAGAGAGGGCATGGGGAAGAGAAAAAGAGGGAGAGAAACATCAATGTGTGGTTGCCTCTCCCCCTGCCCCTCCCCCACTGGGGACCAGGCCTGCCACCCAGGCATGTGCCCTGACTGGGAATCGAACCTGCAGCCGTTTGGTTCTCAGGCCGGCATTCAATCCACTGAGCCACGCCAGCCAGGGTGGAAACTTCCAAGTGTGGGATGCAGTAGTGCTAACTCTGCTCACCATGCTGTGCACTAGACCCCAGAACTCATCCCTCACATAACTAGGAGTGTGCCCTTGACCCACCCTCCCCCTTTTCCCCACCCTACCCCTGCTGCGACCACCACCAATCTACTCTGTTCTCACGAATGTGCCTTAGCACAGTGCCCTTGATGCCCAGTCACATCGTCATAGACGGCAGGACTTCCTTCTTCTATCCGACTGAACAGGGTTGCGTTGTGTGTGTTATGTACACCCCGCCATCACCCATCCATTGGTCAGTGGACACTTAGGTTGGTTCTGTATCTGGGCTACTTGAAAAATGCTGTAATCCACACGGGAGTACAGATATCTCTCCGAGATAGTGACGTCATTGTCTCCCCTAATTCTCGACACCTCTGATCAGCTGTTGTCTCCCGTTCTTTATTGGTTTTCAGTTTTACTAGTCAGAGCAGGATGGTTCCGGACCCTGACTTTGTATTTTGTCAGAATTCTCTAAACCAGCTATATTAGGAAATGTGCCCCCCTCGGCAAAGCAGCTTGAACTTCAAACAGACCCATGTATCTTTATATCCAAGAGGAACACTGGGTAACACAGCTTTTGCAGGCTGCCCACAAATCCCAAAGCCAAAAGTGGTCACCTCGGACCCTGTCCGTTGAGAGCTGACCTGTTTACACTGACTTACCTGGCCTGGTTGGGGCCAATCTTGTGGTGTCCAGGGCCCTGTTCTGTAGCAGAGCGCCCACGGCGCTGGTAACGGTTGGTTCTTTTCTGGAACCCATCTGAGCCCTACCCTAGAGAGAGAAGGAGAACAGGCCTCTAACCTCAGGGAGCGCACACAAGCAACGTTCCGCATTTCCCACTTAACCCAGAGTCATTTCCGGACACCTACCACACTCGGGGGATGGGGACATGCACACCCTGGCCCTCGGTTAGCCAGGTTCCCAACCGCCCCTCTGGTGAGCGAAGCCATGTTAAGGGTTCGGAACTTTCATTCTATAATCAAGCCTTTGGGGGAATTGCGATATGTTAATCCTGAGAAATTAGTTGTGTACAGACATAAGAAATCACTCCATGTCAAAAAAGATAGTTATGGAACATTCTAGTTTTTCATTACACTTGAAGATGCCTTTGTTTTTAAATACATGAACAGAGAAGAAAAACAGACATTGGCAGGCAGCAAATGTTTTAAACATGGAATTCCAACATCCCCACGCCACACCCCTCCCCACTGAGCAGCAGGAGCAGAATGGTTACATTAATGCAGCATGAGGATCCAAAGGTTCCTTGCTAGCTCCTTTTCACCCCGCTGCTGAGCCCACCGACATCTCCATGGAAACTACATAAAGATAACCTGTTACTCCAAGTGAGAATTCTCACTCGGGCAAGGCTAGCTGTGAGATTGTAGCAGGCAGTTCATCCCCAGCCAAACAAACAGAGCTATTTTCAGAGGGCAGAACACTTTTTCAAAGTTGGTTTTCTTTAAAATAGAAACACATTTCAGCTGTGCTGTTAACAGCCCTTCCCAACTGAAACTGGCCCTCCCTGTCTGTGCCACTCGTGAATAAGCCTCACTATGAGGCCGGGCCCCGGCGTGGTCAGGCTGGCATGGGTAAAACAAGCACTGCTGTTCAGACACACTCGACAGTGCGTTCACTCAGAGAGCAAGCCATTTTTCTTCTGTGTTCCCAATCACCACTTAGCTCTGCAAAACAAGGCGAGGCACGGGGCCAAGTCACTGGTTACAGTCGGGACGGCCAGCTGGCCTCCTTCAGGAATAAAAAGCACTTCCGTGGCCGCTTCCCAGTGCTCCCTTTGGCCCCACTAAACCCCGACTCACTTCGTGAACTGGCCAGAAGAACCATTCGAAGAAATGGGCCGCACCCTGTGCTGCTTTGGAAAGCGGAGGCAGGGTTATACTGAGAAAACCTTTCCAAGGCGAAGTTGAATGCGAGCCCAAAGCAGTCACATCCCCACGAAATCAGGGTGTCTTTCCCACCCAGAGGAAAGGACTCCCAGAGAGGGGGAGGAGGGTGGGGTGAGGGGGAAGGAGGATGACTGGGGGGACCCCTATGTGAAGGTGCTTCACTTCTATTATCTATAATCCTCCCAACCACTCAGCAAGGTAAGGACGAAAGTGAGTCTCAAAAATTTGAAGTAACTTGTCTAAGTTTCCCTACAGGTAGCGAACTGTGGGATTGCAAGGCAGACCCTGACTGTGGATTGCAGAATCCAGGCTCTTTCTACATTGCACTACCTCCCATACTGTTTCAGGGGTGAAGATTGAATCTCTACAACTATATTTATCATAACCACCTTGCCTGCCCCACCAACACACCTGTCTCCTCCCTCCTGCGATCCTTTATCGAGACGTACAGTATCATTAACTGCGTAGGCTCCAGAGCTAAAAACCTTCTGGTCACCCCTGATCCTCTTTTACCCTATCTCCAATTACCTTCTTACATCAATTAGTTCTTACACTCTCTCTCCATGCCCCCACGCCCATTAGTCTTCTTATTCCAGCCCACGATTCTTTCCCTGTGGTGTGGCTTTTAGCTGGTCTCCTGACAATCCATCTTGAACGCTAATTGCAAGGCTGATCTTTCTAAAAAGCCAATTCCATGTCCCTCCAGTCTATACATCAGCCAGTCAACATTGCCTATAAAATGACACATGGGGCTAATAATAGACAGAAAAGCCAAGGTCAGGGAGAAGAGGAAGCCGAAGCACAGTAGGAACAGGTGAGCCGGTGAGATGGAAGGGAGCGCTTCCCAGGTACCTGGGGACTCTATAATTCCTGCTTCCAGGCCCTCGGGCTGGCTGGCCTCAGATTCAGGGCACCTGTCCACTTAATTCCCCTTTTCCTCTTTTCTGAACCAGCTTGACTTAATACCCTTCTAGTTTGGACACAGGCTCAGTCTGCCCCTGCCCATCACCTCCCACAGGCAGCTGTGCTTTAACCTCATGAGCTGGGCTCTTCGGGCCGTGAGCTGGATGTTTGTGAAGAATGGCCTCCCCAGCGCCAACTCTACACTGCTGAACCCATTTGATAGATGAGGGGGAAATATCTGCTCCTCTTTGAAGCCATCCATGAATCCTGGTGGCCTCTTCCTCACCTTGTGCTCCTGTACAAGGCAATCACCACACCTTGCTATTGCACCGTTTCCAAATCCCCACTTCCTCTGAGTGATGAACCCTTGATGGGCCAGCACCTGGCACAGTGCCGGGCACAGGGAAGGTATTCCACACCTGCCTGATGCAGCACAGACGGAGCTGGAGCCCATGGCCGTGGGATAAGTTCTTATTGGAGAAGGTCCCATCCCGATTAGGTAATGGATTTCGTGGAAATCTTTCTAAACATTATTTCATGCTTTTAAGTGTTCATGCCAATTTAATCTTTTCTTGGTGTCTGAGCCATGTTTATAAGAGTAATAGCTTTCATGCTGTCCAGTCAGTTACGTCCTGGGACCTGCGATCCATGCAAAGCTGTTCACTGGCTCCAGTTCTGTTTTTTTTTTTAAATAAATCTATAGTTTTCCTGGGCAAGTTTTCATTGTACTTATTTGTATCTATCTATAACAGTTGCTTCCATTTCTTCCCTTCAACTTACTGGTTCTATGGCTTTTAATAAAAGGTCAAACACCTTTCTTCTATGGGGCAGAACATGTGGCCTGCAGGGTGGTCCTCCTTTGAACCTAATATTATAGAAATACTACTTATAGATTCACGTCTTCATCCTGAGAAGCTGCAACGACTACCGAAATCATTGTTCTATAACACCCAAAGGTGGTGTAAGTGGGAAACTCAAAAGGAGCCCCCTCCCACGGGGATGAGGGACAGTGATCGGTGACAGGGATCCTTATTTTTCCCAGGACGAGTAACTTAGGTTCCCCCCAGAGTTGACCTGCTTGGCCCAGGCATGCAAGGGCACAAGAGGCAGCACCTAGGGAGAGATATTACCTGTGCTCTGGAGGCCAATTTGGCTGCCGTCTGGGCTGGATCAAAGACTCGGCGAGAAGATTGATCCTTGCAGAAATTAATATGGCGACCGGCGGCATTTTCATTAAACCTCCTCATACAATATGGACACTGAATATAATCTGAATGTAAAGACAACAAAAGGCAATTAGCATGGTGAAAAAAAATCTCTGAAGAGGACTATAGGAAATAAAATAAATAGGTTATGAGCTGTGCTCCAACACAGAACAAGGTGGCCCGTGCTGGCTCGAGACAGCCTGTTCTGGAGGGGAGGCCTGCCAGGACCAAATAGAGGACATGGGAGGAGAAACTGTCATACTGTGCACTTACTGCAACGAAGACTGTGCCCTTAAAACACTTACACAAATTCGACTTAGGAACTTGCCGATTAAATGAATTAGTAAGTGGAACTTCGTGTGAAAAGCAGTCCTGAAATCACAGAATGTTAGTATTGATGACTCAGCAGGGCATTGAAGACTTAAAAGCCCAGGTCCTGGCACCAACTGTGACAGAGAGACATACAAGAGTTAGGGGGCTGCTAGGGAGATGGGATGTTTCAGAATATGGGTCTTGGGATGGCATCTGAAGCCACCGTCACTGCAGAAAGACATTGTTTCTGCAGAATGAGATTCTTTCCACTGAACACAGAGGTTCAGTAAGGAGGCCGATGTCCTGGGCAGTTCTGTGGGCAGGAGGTTGTCTGTGGGTCTGTGGGGGGTACCCACTCATCTCAATGTGGCTCTCGTTTGCACGTGCCAGACAATGAGTGACGTGAGAGGTGAGAAAGACCCTGGGTGTTAGAACGAGGAGATGCTCATAGCAAAGACGGGTGGAGCCTACCGCTCCCTAAAGCAAGCAGAGAGAGAGAGATGCGGGGTTATGTTTTGTTTTTAGGTACCTCTTCTTGAGGGATGACAAAGTGTATGTGAGCAACATAGGAGAATAACTCCTCCGCCCCTCCGGAAAGGATCTGAGAGGTTAAGCATGAACTTAACCTCTGCACAGAAGTTTGGGTTGGCCAAAATTCCCACATGCATGGATGAGTATTGAAGGCAACGATGTCTTCAAAGTCAATAGTCTTTTGAAGGCGACTGTTAAAGCACACTGGGGAGCTTTCTATTTTAATACATCACTTCCTAAAGTGAATAGTCATAAAATGTAACAATTGAAAGAAACTGGAAGAAAATGAAAGATGAGCGCTTCTCCTAACCCTTCATTTTGCACTCTGGAAGTCAGTACCTAATTATTAATTCAATACACATGGAACACCTATTCCGTACCAGGTGCGGTTTTATACTTGGTGATACAAAGTTTCTGTAATCAAGGACTAAGCATTCCAATACAGAAGCAAAAATTTCCCACAGAGATAAATTCCTTGAAAAAAATAAAAGAGGGCAGCATTGGGAAACGCTGAGGGCTCCGCAGCCTGCCAGACTGGTCTGGGCCCCAGCAAGTCCCTTGCTCTGTGTGTGAATGTGGGCAAGTTACTCAACCTCCTCAGGCTTCGATTTCTGCAGTGACTGTGTATCACCCGCTTCATCGGTCATTGTGAAAGTTAGCTAAAATAATCCACACCAGGGCTTGGCATCACAGGTGGGGCCGGAGATACCATTCCTATAAGGAAACTGGCCCAGCAAGGTTGGTCTCCCAACCACCAAACGAGAGTGAAACTGCTTAGAAAAAGTAAAGCATGAAGTGCCATTATCACGCAGAACTCACAAGGGGCTAGAAAACCACCTGGAACTTGGCCTTTGTCTGGGTGTGCATCCCTTCATTTTTACCAGCTGTGAAGTCAAGGCTCATGGCAGAAATGCTGCCACCGTGGACCGAGTGGGCTCAGGCACAGGCCACGATTACAGCAACGACTGCGTGGTTTGCTTGATCCCGCTTGTTCATTCATTCATTGCTGCCCTTCTGTATGTTTGGCACTAGATGCCACCATGGAGACAATCAAGCTGAAGTGTATTTCCCTGCCAACAAAAGCTCAGAGGGGACTGGAGGACTAGGCAAAGGAGCAGACAGTCACCATTCCCTGCGGGAGGAGGCGGCGCTGTATCCTCCGGGGGCGTGAGGAGGAACAAGAAGCCCTGACTTCGGGGCAGACAAAGGGAACTTCAAATCCTCTGAGAATGGAGAAAGTATGTCTCAGTGCTAACTGTCTGGACACAGGGTGACCAAGCCACATGCTCTGCTCCCGTCTCAATCCCAGTCACCTCTTTATTAATCCCAATGGCACAAAAGTCACTGGGGATGATTTATTTCAATAGATGATGACTTTAGAAGCCTGACTACAAATGGATTTTTAAAAATCCTCACTGACGGACATTTTCTTCATGGCTTTTAGAGAGAGAAGCAGCGATGTGAGAGAGAAGCATGGACTGGCTGCTTTCTGTAGGTGCCCAGACCGGCAATTGCATAGACTGGGACCAGGATCAAACCCACAGCCTTCGTTACAGGACACTCTCCGACCAAGTCACACCCACCAGGGAGAAATGGATTTTTATGAGGACTCTGGGGAGGATGGTTAAATCTCCTTAAAAAAAATAAAGGCAGAAAAGCGAGCATCATTCAAAGGTGCATTCATAGGAGTACCCACGCCTATGAAGCTCTGTGAAATGGTGAACAAATGTTTCAGGCCTCTTGGAAAATTCTGATGATAAATATTCAATGTCATCATCCCTATAAAGTCTCACAACATCCTGGAAAGCTGACTGATTGGCAGACTTGCTTAGCTCAGTAAGAATTAGGATAAATATATACGTGTCACAAAAACTGAGTTATGAAATAGGGAACCAGGCTGAAAAAAAAATCGCTTGCAAACTCACACGTGCAAGGCAATATTCTATGTGACTCTTTTACAGCTCTGTATAGTTCCTACTATTTAAGCCTGAGAAGATCTGGGCTAATATAAATTTCCTATCAATCAAAGTAATTTTATAGTAATTAAACTGGGCTATTGTATGTAATCACTTTGTTTGGTGCATAAAATTACAGTGAGAACCCAGAAAAGAATGTAATTGTGAAACTATATTTTAGCATGAAGCTGTCAAAAGCAGATAAACAAATTTTATGTTTGATGAGGCCTTACAAAGAGAATTATTTATTTAAAAAAACAATAATTCCCACATTTTAAGTTTGACATGAAAATAATAGAAATTCACTCATCTGAGATGGTATCATTCAGCTAAAGAATCACCAGTTAGTCATTCAATTCTGTGGCTTCTGCTATTAAAATAAAGTATTTATAATAAAAGATGTTTTTGTTCTGTGAAGCTTATTGTCCAAGTATTATCAAAACCATAATCATAGTTCTTTCGATTGAACATCTTGAGATGACGCATTACTTTAATGACATTTTCATTAACACCCAGCAGAAGTGAAGTGCTTACTAAAATTACTACCTGGTAAAAAAAGATCAGATGACTTATTTTTCAGATAATATTTATTTCATGATTACACAGTAGGGTTTTTTTGTTTTATTGTTGTTTTCTTATATTCAAAAATAAGCTTTGAGAAATGATTTATATGAAATAAAGTCACCTATTTTAAATGTCTGGTTCAACGACTTCTGACAAATGTATACTTTTGTGTAACCAGCCCGATTAAACAGAATAATTCCAGCACCCAAAAAAGTTCCTTCATGACCCGCTCAGCCAATATTTCCCCAAACCCAGTCTCAGACCAGCCAAAGATGTATTTTCCTGTCACTGAAGACATTATAATTCCATATAACAACCACGATTCTCTATGTGTAGTAGCAGTCTCTTCTCACTGTTGAATTGTGTTCCACTTTGTAAGTATTTCACAATGTGTTTATCCATTCCCTCACTGATGAACACTTTCAGAGGTTTACAATCTATACTACCTAAAGTTGCTGTGAACATTAATTTTATAAAGACATGTTTTTGTTTTTTTGCATAAATACCTAAGATTGGAGTTGCTCTATAATGAAGTCTATGTTTAAGAAAATATCAGTGCAAAGAGGCTGCACTGCTTTACATTCCTACCAGCAGTGTATGAGACGTGCCATTATTCCACATCTAGCCGTCACTTGTATTGCCGGTCTTTCATTTTAGCCATTCAAGGGGGTATGCAGTGGTAGCTCACTGTGGTTTAATTTATACTTCCTTGATAAAAGTAATATAGGATATCTATTTATGTGGTTTTGTTCATTATTTTTTGATGTGTTGGTTCAAATATATCTTTTGCCTGTTCCCTCTTGGTTTGTTTGTCTCATTAATGAATGAGTTGTAATTTCTTTATATATTCTTAGTGTGAGTCCTTGGTCAGATAGATGTATTGTAAGTATTTGCTTCCAGCCTAGGGCTTCCTTTGCATTCTCTTAATGAAATCCCTCAAAAATAAAATTTTTGAGATTCCATTAAAAATTTTTGTTAAAGTCAAAAATAAAAATTTTAACTTTGGTGAAGTCCAATTTATCAATTTTCGATTTAAAAATTGTTAGTGCTTAAGAAATCTTGACCCTTAGGTCAAAGATTTTTTTTCTAGAAAGTCTATAGTTGTTGGACTTTTATGTTAGGTCAATGATCCATTTTGAGTTAATTTTTGTATATGGTATGAGGATCAAGGTTCATTTTTCCCATATTGATGTCCAGCTTTCCCAGCATCATGTATTACTAAGACTATCCTTTACCACATTGAACTACATTTGTCAAACGTCTATTGCCTATAGGTGGTGGAGGAGTTTATATCTAGGTTCTCTTTTTTCTTCAATTGTTACACTAATGCCAAATTGTAATGATCACTGTAACATTATATTATATCTTGGTATATGGTAGTCTTAGTTCTGCAACTGTATTCTTTTTCAAAAATTATCTTGTCTATTCAGTTCCTTTGAATTTCCATATAATTTTAGAATCAGCTGGTCAATTCCTACCTGGCAAAGAAAACTTGCAGCAATCTGTATTGTAATTACTCCAAGGCCACAGATCAAGTTGGAGACTCATAACACAACACTGAGTCTTCCAAACCACGAAAATGGGAAATTTCTCCACAGATTTTGTTCCTCTTTAAGTTCTCTAAGTAATGTTATAAGGTTTCCATTTTACATTCTAACTTATTTTTTTAATATATACCTAAATATTCAGTGTTTTTACATTAT